TTGGTTTTTGAAATAACTGAGTTTTTGTTTTTAAGAAAATGATAGATAAAAAATGTAAAAAAATAATGTTTAGTTTATTATACGAAATTTAAAGAAAATGCAATTTTAAAATTTAAGATGGCAGTTACGCCCTCTGGTGGTCATTTTTAGAACTTGAAAATATTTTCCGGTTCCGGTTCCCGAGGTATGGCCGAGGAACAGTCTTATTGGGTCACCCGGTACTTTCATTCGTGAGTATGTTACGCAAGTGTTCACAGCACTTTGTGGGTGCGATGGGACCGCCGGGTGGCGGCACAAACATGGTCACGTCCCGTTTTCTGCGCCATATGAACATCATATGCCTGGACACTTTCGGGGACGAGACATTATCGAAAATATTCAGTACAATCCTGGAATGGCACTTTGCTAAGGGCTTTGAGGATTCAATTTGTCGTCAAATTAAAGTTTGTCGATTGAATCCGAAATTCAATGAATCAATATGTCATTTTTAGAACATTGTGAATGCAACAATGGAGATTTACAAAGCCGCAATGGAAAAGTTTCTACCGACACCTTTGAAATCCCATTACACATTTTCCTTGCGCGATTTCTCAAGGGTGATCGGTGGAATGCTTTTGGTTCCTTCGTCCGTCATGACCGATGTTGATAAACTAATCCGATTGTGGATACACGAAAGTTATCGAGTGTTTAACGACAGGCTAATCGATGATGGTGACAAGTAGGTTTCCTATTATCTTTTTGTCTCGGCCTAATTGATTTTTAACACAAGGAAAACTTTTTTCGACATTGTCAAAAACACGAGTTATAACGTCTACAGGCAACACATGGAAAAGGTAATGGCAATTTGGATACCGGAAGGCGAGAAGTTATCTGTCGATACTGCTCGTAACTTATTCTTTGGAAACTACATGAACCCAGATGCCGATCCTAAAATTTATGATGAAGTTGTATTCGAATCGCACAATTTATAATTAACAATGTTTTTGCAAGGTCGCCGATCTAGAGGATTTAGTTGAAAAGATGAATTTCTACTTGGGAGAATACAACATGATTTCTAGGTCGCCCATGCATCTTGTTATGTTCAAATTTGCAATAGAGCATGTCTCCAGAGTTTCGCGCGTTTTAATGCAGGATAATGGGAACGTGCTTCTGGTTGGTATTGGAGGTTCCGGCCGACATTCCGCGGTTAAATTGGCGGCTGCGATGGCGGAATACAATTTATTTGAGGTATTGCTCGCCTATGCGTATCACATAGATACCAATTGAGGTATTTTTGTATATACGTAATAAGTAGATAGTTAAAAGTGTTTGGAAAAATATTATTCAATCACTTTAAGCACATGTTATAAAACCAACAATGTTGAATATGAAATTTTATTCCTAATTTTTTTAATTGTAAAAATAGAATATAGGTACCTATACACTGTGTCCAAGATGTCTATCATGGGGATCTTTGAAACGGATTGTGTAGCTGAGTGGTAGAGCGTTGAGCTATATAGCCGGGAGGTCAGGTGTTCAAACCTGGGCTAAGGTAAGAATTTTTCATCTGTGGCAGAGATGGGAATTTCCTTAGATCAGTTTCGAGCAATCTGCCGGCTACTCCGAATTAGGTTTTCCTGCAGTTTTCCCAATTCGTAAGGTAAAATAGGAGGATTATAGAACAACTTAAGACCTGCAGAGGCAGGGGCACTTCTAAAAAACACATAAAAACGAAATTTGTGGATTTTGTTTTAATTTTTTCTGATGTTATTTGAACAGATACAAAAAAATAAGAAAAACACTTTCTAATTGCCACTAGTTGCGCTCTACATGACAGCGTTGAGAGATTTTTAAGGGAACTTTTCGTTTCAGAGAAACCATCATCAGCTTCATTTGTTTATATGGCCCTTAAAAAAAATTACATACTGTATTGAGTAGCATTTTTTATTACGAATACAACAATGTACGGCACACAAGAAAACCAAAGTTTCAACAGGATGGTGCACCCGCGCATAACGCCGTAATTGTGCGAGAATACCTATCGAAAGTGTTGTAATGTATCTAGTTACATGCATCTAGATACTTTTTGTGTAACTAGTTATACCCTAAGCGAATAACTAATTTACAAATTTCAAGTAACTATGTAACTAACGCTGAGATACATTTTACTACCCTGAAGTTCGAGTAAATATGTTGTGCGTGTTATTTATGCACCAAGATCGTTGGAAAAAATACCAAGAGCATTATTTCAATGGCAAAAACATGAGCAAAGGCGATACTGTTAGTTAGGTAGATTTTATTGCGAGAACTTTACAAATACTATAATAATTAAAAGATAAGATTGTTCTATACAGTAAACTCGCAGTCCAGTCTCGCACCCCTACTCACGAAATGCCATATGCCACTACAAAACACAAAGGATTTTTAGTGAGGCTTCTCCTGCAAAAATTAAATATAAAATTTTTTTTTGTCTCATTAAAATGCCCTTTTATTTCAATTTTAGAATTTTGGATGGAAGATAACTGCATCTGTAACTGTATTATAGACATATGACTCTCGTATGTTTATGATCTGGATCTATTTAAAAATTTAGGCAAGTAACATATTAATGTAGATAATGAAAGTTATGTAACTGTTGCAACACTAGGTACCTGTCGGGCAGATTTACTGGAAAATGGAAAATTTCTCCAGTAGGTGTTCTGACAAAATTAGGGTGTTGTGAGCGGGTACTCCATCCTGTTGAAACCACCAGTTTCCCACTTTTGTTTTATTTGTGTGACCTACATCGTTGCATTTGTATAAAAAGTTCTACTCAATACAGTATGTACTTTTTTTTACAGGCAATATACAAAAATAAAATTAATGATGATTTCTGCAAAACGAAACCTTTCAACCCTGTATTTTAAAACTCAAGTAATGGCAATGAGAAAGTGTTTTTTATTTTTTTGTATCTGTTCAAATAACAAATCTTTTTTTGGTTTCCGAGGTCCCCATGATAGACATCCTTATTTTGGACACAGTGTATATCCTAGGATTGGAATTTTTTTAAATTAATAAGTAATTATAAGTACCTATCATTTGATTTGTTCAAAAAAATTATGCATAATTCCAACAATGCGTTTGAATAATCTGAGAAATCGAATAGTTTTTCTGGAAATTACGTATTCGTTTCGAGTTTAATATAATTGCATTACCCTTTGGTTAGCAAAAAACGATATAATATTACGTCCATTTATTTAAAAAAATTACTACCTATTCATTTGTTAATATCCGCCATTTTGAAGACTATTTTGAAATCATTTTTTGAGTTTGTTCAACTTCAATAAAACTTAGTTTTGAAATTTGGTAAAAAGTGTTGTTTGTACGAGGTTAAAAAACACACAGGAAGTGCAGTCGAGCTAATAGGTTTTTATTTTTCTGTATAGGCTATCGATTTCGGTACGTTAAGCAATACCATCTTCAGGCCGTAGCGTCATTAGTACAAGATACAATATGTTTGTACCTTCTCCTTGAACACATCTAAAATGCCCATACGTGGGGGTGCGCAACAGGCCGCCTGAATTTCACTTGTTTCCGTTTTTCCTCAATATATTGAAAACTATCAATTTTTCATTACCACTTAGCTTTGAATATAAATTTTTATTCATCATTATACAGTATGTTTCAAATTAAGTCGGCACTATTTCAACTTTCTTAGCTGTAGAGTTAGAAAGACGGTTAAATTGTGTACTTATTGGTTGCTAGTGAATCCAAATCTGCAATTAAAAAACCAAAACAACATCGCAATTTTCAAATAATAACAAAAATGTGATTTTTTCATATGGAACGCCCTGTATATTATTACATCATATGACAGATTATTAAATTCTCTACAACAGTTTTTATTGTTTTTAATGTACCATAGCCAAAATACCAAGATTTTTCAATTATTTTCATTTCGATCTAGTTATCGTTAAAAATGATAAAATGACGAATACTTAAGTATGATATACCTATATATATATATATATATATATAATTAAAAAAAACTTATTTACCCTAAGTTGTAGGGCTCAAATTATAAATCATTTTACACACCTTTAAATATGTATACTCAATTTAAGAAAACAAAAAAAAAGAATACCTAAGTATGATCGGACCCGAAAACATGACAACTCGCAAGAGAAATCGTAAGAAAAATCACATAACGTAAACTGCACTTAAATTTATCCTCCATTATTGATATATGGGTCTCTTAAATCGTGTTTTTCTTATGTTATCATCAATCTCTGTTATTATTTACTGCCTATAGTACGTATGGTGTGTACGAAGAGGGGGAACAAGCGCATCATGAAATTTGAAATTGAGCAAATGAGCATATAATTATATAACTAAATATACCTACTGAATAAATGAATAATAACTATAATAAACATAAAAACAAAACCGAAATATAAATACACATTTCATTCATCAAGCTCGTAGTCTGACAACTTCTCTACAAGGGGCACTGGACACACCCCCATTGCGTTCAGGGCAAGCGACCGAGCATGTGACGCCTGCCTTCCGACAGCCACATCCTGGTCCGCACCCTCTCTTGCATGAGGAACATATCATGTTCAATATAAAGTAGGGTCCAGCGCTGGCGATACTTCTTCCCAGAGAGTTCCCCACCCACAACTGGATCTGGTGGTAAATCGTCTCACCATGCTGCATCACTGCACCGGTAGTTGGGGGAGGGGAGGGGGGAGAATAAGCGACGCTCTGTACAATGCCAAAAACATTTTCTCGACACCTCTATGGTGTGGTGCGGTTGGGTTGTAAAACAGGGATGAAATTTGTAAAAGCTGAGACTTAATGTTGATTTGATGGAAATAATTTGGGTGATGAGTTGTGATACCCACTGCCCGAACTTTATCTCTCTTCGATTGTTTTGCGAGAAACGCATCATCAATTCGTGCACAACAATAAAGGCATATGTGCTTAAAGTCAAATGACTGCTGACTCGACCCCAACATGGAGCCCGGTGCCGATGGTTCATCTTTTTACTTCAGGCATGCCTCAATAGAGGTCTTTCTTGTGTAGTTCTTTTTGCAAGACGCATGCATAACCAAAGTTGACTGCCCTGCTAGCTTGCTATACGTTTTTTGTAGGAAATGTAATGAGCTTTCATATTGTACATATAAATGTTTATGAAATAGATTAAATTTAAAGAAGGAGGAGCTGCTGTATTAGAAGAACACAATAAAAATCATCATAAAGATATATTCTAGGCATTAAATTTAATAAGCCTTTATTTAAAGATAGTTTTTGAGATATTGAGGAGATACCGGAAAAATAATGACAAAATCCAAAATGGCGGTCTGTTGTGCACCCCCCACATATGGGAGAAAGATCTAAAGTACATTTTAGGTCAAATTTCATGTCTATAAGTTTTTTTTTATTTTTAATTGGCGATTTTGGTAGTAGATTGACTTGGCTACTGCTGTAGGTACCTTCATTCTAGGACATGTTGCTAATACTATATTTGTAATTGGAGCACATTATTTGTAAGTTTTTTTACAGTTTCTGGGTTGTCCACTTTTTTTTTACTTACTTTGGTTGCAATGAATAAAGATATTCATTGTTTGGTTGTTTTGAACGTCATTGCAGAAGTTGTCTATACTGCATTCATTATAAGAAGGTAGTAGATGGCGCTGTGTTTAAAGATAGACACACACAGGATAAATATAAAACGGCACCAAATTTGAAAAATATGAATATAAATCAAAAGATTTCACGTTTGGATCATTGAAATTGACATCTATAATGTCAGTTCGACAGTTTAGTTCGTAACCGAAACTACTAACATAACAAAATTGGTCACACATTTTATTTGTCGGCGTAATACAGACTCGTGGTTTAACCAATCACAGAGACCGTCAAAGCTTCCCTATGATTTCTACCGCTACCTTCTTAAAATGAATAAGAGTATAGAGCAATTTTGCGAAACTATAAAGTAATTATTTGGTATCACGATTATTTCATTGGGACATGGGGTAGCACGGGGCACGTTAGGAAAAAACGTTTCTATAGGTTGTGTAGTAGGAGCAAAACACAACAGGCAAGTGCGCAGGTCAATGGCAGATCATCGGCACTGATTGTGTAGGATTTCACCAGTTAGGTACATGTGAAATTGCAATATACGCATTTTGTCGTTTTTGGTGAGAGATTGTTTGTTTTAAGTAAAACTTTGAGTGGAAATTTCTAACTATTCAAGTAAGTTAATTTACTTCTGCCATTGTTTAAATAAAGTATTTAAACAATGCTTCTACCAAGTTTTAATTAATTATAGTTGAAGTACTGTAGAAACCCATGACCATTACAGTAATTATGTTTTTTTAGCTAGTATCCAAGTAGGCTTTGGTTTAATAATTTTGATAGATACATCGGGTAGCCAGGGACAGCATAAATTCGGGTATCGGGGGACAAGATGTAACCTCAACTCCCCTTAAAAACCGTCTAGAAGAAAAGTTGGAAGAGCAAAGAGCCAAAGAGGGCAAAAAAGTTTGAAAGATACTCGAAGAAAATAAACTACAAAAGAAGAAAAGAAATAACACAACAAATAAAATCAAAAGAACTACAGGTTGTAAGATAAAAAAAAGTGATAGACGAAAATAAAGAGAGAAGACAATCACGACTACATGCTTGTATAATGTCACGAGACATTCGATGAGGATTTGATCAAATGTCAAAAATTGGCCCACGAAGAATGCGCGGATGTTGAGGACACATCCCATTTTTATGTCTGCGATTTATGTAAAACTCATTATTATTATTGTTTTTATTTTAAAAACGGGTTTCAGTTTATAATTTTGTTAAAATAAAGTTTTACTTCTCAATTTCCTTGCATTCCTTAGCTGTCCCGGGTTACCCTCCAGTTTTAATACTGCAATAAATACTAGAGGTGTCTTTTAAATACCAAAAACTTTTCCAAATTTTTAAATTAGGTACTTTATTTAAAATATTACTTTGTAAGTTTCTACTATTACATGAATAGTCCGTTTTAGTGTCTTTTTCCATTTTCGTTAAAAAAATAAAAAGCCTAAGTATCCTGTGCTACCCGACTTTCCCCTAGTAGTATATATACAATTTTTCGGTAGTGTTATATTTGTATTTCGTGGATTCTGATTTATATGAATGGAACAGAACGGAACAAACTTAATTTATTGACAATTTTTCTACTTGCTATTTTCGTAACTAGGATACTCTTTTTTTCCAGCGCAATTATGATGTAATTTTAAATATATATAACACTTCCCTCGCTATTCCAGGTGTTACTGTTTTTATAGATGATATTAAAGTTACAGGGTTGTCATACGAGGAACATTTACATAAATCATTCCACCCTATTTCTACTTTGGATGAAATTTGTAAAATATTGTTTATTTGTAACAAATTTAACTGTCTGATCCATTCGCGACCCAATAGTGGTTGTCTATCTAGTTTTGTAACATAGCAATTCAAATCGTACTTTTGGTGATTGTATTGAACGTTCACTGTAATATATCCAATTAATTGTACAGGCATTTCACAATATGAGAATAGCTTTAAATCTGTACATTGAAGAGCATGTGTAGCAAACAATTTTCTGTAACACTGCTGACTTATAAGCGTAACGGCTGAACCGCTATCAACTTCGAAATTTACTGATTTATTTTGAAGCTTTAACGTAATTGAATATTTCTTTCTGTACTCAGTAGATTCCGATGTAATTTGTAAAATTTCCTCTACATTATTTACCTGTTTATCCTTCATGCAAACCTTTCTCAAATGACCTTTTACACCACAGGATGTACATGTGATATTCCTGTTTAGTTTACATTTGTTGGCAAAATGATTGCCTCCGCATCTAAAACAATGTATATTAGTATTAGAATTAAAATTTCCTGTATTGATTTTCTTCTTTTCCTGAAAATTGGTCTTCTTCGCGGCTGCACTTGTATCTTCTCCCTTGTGTGTATTTTTTGTATCCTTCTTGAAATTGTAATTGATGGCATGCACATTTGTACCTTTGTGTTGTAACTGCTGTATATCTTTTTCGGTAATTTCCATGCTGCTAGCGACTTCCATGGCTTTTTCTAAAGTCAGGTCCTTTGTTTCTAGTAGTCTAGTTTGTATTCTTTTTGATTGAAGCCCGAACACTAACTGATTCCTTACAGCGTTATTCAAATAATTACCAAATTTGCAATTGATGCTTAATTTTTGTAATGCATGACAATATTCTTGGATCGACTCACCTTCTACTTGTTTACGAGATTGAAATCTAAATATTTCGGCTACTTCTAACGGCGATGGTGAGTAGAAATGTTCCAACGTCTGTATAATTTCTATATACGTTTTACTTTCTGGTTCCACCGGAGATAATTTGTCTGCGAGGATGTCATACGTACTCGCACCCATGTAGTGTAATATGTAGTACACTTTCATATCATCCGTAGTATTAAATACCTTGAAAGCACCTTCTAGACGTTTTACCCACCTGGCCCATGATGTTGTACTTGGGTTGAACGCTTCAATTATAAATGAATGTTGTACTGTATTCAATGACTGCTGTACTGTATTTGTAGGTGTGGTATTCATTGTACTTTGTAATATTCTTCCTTATCCTCGTCGCCACTTGTTATATTTGTATTTCGTGGATTCTGATTTATATGAATGGAACAGAACGGAACAAACTTAATTTATTGACAATTTTTCTACTTGCTATTTTCGTAACTAGGATACTCTTTTTTTCCAGCGCAATTATGATGTAATTTTAAATATATATAACAGGTAGGTCCCCCTACATATTGTTTTCTTTTATTGATATGCGCTAACGCCAACAGATTTAAGTAAATCATGGAAACGATGGTCAACTAAACGTACTTTTAATTGTAGATTGAAATATCTAAGACTTACGGTGTTTCCGAATGGAGAGACGATTTAAAAAAATTACTGTTGAAAGCCGGCGGAGAGGGGAAGCCCATCATTTTCTTGTTTGCCGACACGCAGATTAAACAGGAGGCGTTTACGGAGGACATCAATATGATACTCAACACTGGAGATGTTCCTAACTTGTACGCGGCCGATGAGAAAGTCGAAATACTGGAGAAGATGCAGACGGCCGCCAGAGAAACTGTACGTGATTCGTTTAATTTAAGATGAGCTCTTTAACGGAAAAATTCCAGGGCAAAAAAGTCGATAACACACCTTTGGCGTTATACAATTTTTTTATCGAACGGATTAGAAATAATTTGCATGTCGCGTTGGCTATGAGTCCCATTGGTGGCAGTTTTCGTGTGCGGTGCAGAATGTTCCCGTCACTTATAAACTGTTGCACCATTGACTGGTAACTTACGTACTAGTTTCTTAGTCTACCTACTATAATTTCTGCTTTAGGTTTATGAAGTGGCCAGACGATGCATTAGAGCGTGTTGCGAAAATGTTTCTACAACAAACCGACATTCAGATGGAGATGATAGAGAAGTGTGTTGAAATTTGTAAACATTTTCATACCGCCATCGAAGTAGCTTCGGATAAGTTTTACGAGGACTTGCAGCGTCGCACTTATGTCACACCTACGTCTTACTTAGAATTGATACAGACATTTAAAAGTTTGTACTATTTAAAAGTAGACCAAATCACTTTACAAAGAAATCGGTAAGGTACCACACAGTTAAACTATTTGTACACACTGGTGATATAGATACGAGACCGGTTTGGACAAGCTTGATTTTGCAGCCGGTCAAGTTAGCCTCATGCAGGAAGAACTGCATGCGCTACAACCTAAACTGGTCGTTGCGTCAGGGGTCACCGAAAAACTTATGGTAAAAATCGAGCAAGATACTATTGTAGTGGAAAAACAAAAAGAAGTGAGGTCTTACTGCTTACCTGCCGACTACAATTGATATGCTAGATTGTAGGAGCCGACGAGGCACTAGCCAATGAAGCAGCCGCAGCCGCGCAAGCTATAAAAGATGACTGCGAATCGGATTTAGCCGAAGCTATCCCTGCACTGGAAGCCGCAGTTGAAGCCCTAGACACCTTAAAACCCGCAGATATTACTCTTGTAAAGTCTATGAAAAATCCACCAGCTGGCGTTAAACTCGTCATGGAAGCTGTAAATTATAGCACATTTAACGGATTATATAATCACTTGCGTAACTTTAGATATGTATCATGAAGGGTAGTAAAGCGGACAGAAAGCCGGATCCGACAAGTGGCAAAATGGTGGAGGACTACTGGGGCCCTTCCGTAAAACTATTGGCCGACATGAAATTCCTGGACAGCCTCAAGACGTACGATAAAGACAACATTCCTCCGGCGATTATGAAAAGGATTAGGGAAAAGTACATACCGGATCGTGATTTCGAACCTGCGAATATTAGGAACGTTTCGACGGCCTGCGAAGGTTTGTGCAAGTGGGTTCGGGCATTGGAGGTGTACGATCGCGTCATTAAAATTGTCGCTCCCAAGCAAGAGAAGCTTCGCGGCGCCGAATCGGAACTGGCGATGCAAATGGAAACTCTAAACGCGAAAAGAGCCGAATTGAAACAAGTAGGTTTTTTTACTGAATTAGTTTGAATTTTACACATTTTTATAGATCTTAGATAAGCTGCAAGCGTTAAACGACGAATTTGCCGCGGAAACAAAGAAAAAAAAGGATTTGGAGGATATGATTGAACTGTGCTCTCAAAAACTTGTAAGAGCCGAACAATTAATTGGCGGTTTAGGTGGCGAAAAAACGCGTTGGTCCGAAACCGCCGCTTATTTGCAAGGACTCCTCGGGAACGTGATTGGGGATGTTATACTTTCGGCAGGTGTAGTGGCTTATTTAGGTCCGTTTACTGTTGATTACAGGTACGTGTAGTGAATCCGATGCAATACTCATTTTGTAAGCGTTTCAGGACTGCCATTGTTAAAGAATGGAACTCCAGTGCAATAAAGTTAGGAATACCGTGCGCCACAAATTTTTCTTTGGTAGTTACACTAGGCGAGCCTGTGATTATACGCGCATGGAATATTGCGGGGCTACCCGTCGATAATTTTAGTATCGAAAATGGAATAATTGCCACCAAATCAAGACGATGGCCCTTGATGATAGATCCCCAAGGTAAATAGGCCAGTAAATGACCGTTTTGGCGTGTAATTTTTCGCGCCTCGACGGATTTGCTTGGAAATTTGGATTTAGGTTACTCTTACCCTCTACTTCAAAGGTGAACTTGAGCCCAGGGTTGCCTTTACTTGGGGGGTGAATGCCACCCCTTCTCGAGGGGGGAGATACGTTCAAAACAAATCCGGAAATTGATAAATTCAGTAATTCTAAGCAACTTTTGTTCTATAGAGTTTTTTCACTAAGTCTATAGTATTCGAGTTATTTGCGAGTGAAGATGTTCATTATTCAACAAAAAAAAACACGTTTTCTCATTCGTTAAATTCCAAATCGAGTACCTCAACGTGAAATAACCAAAAAATGAAGCACTTTTCGGGGAAAACTTATGAATACTTTTTTAAAGTGTTTGAAAAAACCTTCCTTTTTGTTTTGAAGAAAAGTTCCTAGCATCAAAACTAAGTGAGTTACGCTCAAAATAAAGTTGGCCCTTTTTTTTGGTAAAAAAAATCGAGGAAATCACCCCCTAATTAGCACCCCAATTGTAATTAAGCGTTACCGCTTTACAGTTTACTTTATTTATGTATTGTTTATATGATCAGTAAGTTTGACCGGTACAAAGTGCATATTTTTGAAAAAATGTAGTTTTGAAATAAAAAAAAATTTTGAAATTTTGAAAAATTCAAAAGTATTAGTGATACGAAACATTTACAAGCATAAAAAATGTAGCTTTTGCTTTTCTGAACGTTTTGCTTTTTTTTTGTTTTTCTGTAAAACAAAAATTGGTTAAGGTGTGGCTGTTCAAAGTTTGCATACCTACACTTGTCATTAGTGACTCATTCGAGCCCTTTCAACTGCAACCCTTTCAAAAATAAGGGTTAAAAAAATTAATTTGAATTAACCGATTTATGATTAAAAAACCAATAACATCAAATACATCAAAACGCGTGTAGTTACTAGAGCATTGTAAGATACACATAATGTGCTATTAAGGCACAGACATTTTATTTATTTTATTTTTTCTATTGTTATTGAAAATCTAGAGACCTAGGACGTATATTTCAAAAAATAAGGGTTGTTTCTTTAATTGAATTAAAATAAATTCGTAAAATTTTAATTAAAAAATTACTGTATATACAGGGTGTCCCTAAAAGGTCTGTACAACGCGCTACCATGGGTTCTTGGTATCAAAATAGGACGATTTAACCCAACTTACCTCTATCCAAAAGTGCCTCGGTAAGGCGCTATCTACCGCCAAAGATTTAAAAAAAAATCGTTATTTTTATTTTATCGGAAAATGGTTTTGCCGATTAAAATGAAATTCGGGATGTGAATGTCTAATGTAAGAAGGGTCTTTGTGATATCATCGTTTTGATTGTAGTTGCTATGTAGGTGGTAAAATACTGACCATCCACATCTGAAGAGGTCTAAAACTTTTTAACTACTATTTTGACAGTTCTGAATTTTTAGACACTGATAGACAGTTTACTTGCAAGCATTTTTTGTCTCTTGATGAATATCGCTATCTGTGATGGTTTACGAAAAAAATAATTTAGGCATGATAATGACAATTAATTCAAGCTTTTGTTTTGCTGTTAAACCCCTAAGTTACAGGGGTACATTTTTGATATTGCGGAAGATCGGTAATTTATTACTATGGATATCTCAAGGTTCAACTAATTAAATCACAGTAAACCTGAAGCACGGTTTATTCCTGAATCAAATTGCGTCAACCATCTTTCGAAATTAATTTTCAACAATATAATAATACGGGAGGCCCATTCGTAATGCCTAAGGCGTTCCACTATCCAATTTTCTAAATTGCTGTTGCTTTCCAAAGGAGAAATCCAACTGAAAAAGTTCCTTTAAATTTTTGAATTGTATAAAAATAGGAGTCGGCCGTTTTTAGGGATTTTGTATAAAAATAATTTTTGCTAGAAATCATTTGTATATTCCTAAAGAGGTCGACTTACACCCCAGGTTTATTCAGTGAACAAAATGTGATTTTGAATCAGAATTACCTATTTGATGTTTTAAGGTCCACGATTTAGTTTGCACTTGTAACTGATTACCTATTATGACCCTAAAACAAAACGGGTTTCTTGCTTAATTATTTATTTCACAACGTTAAAAATTGCACGCACTCAACTCACGGGCTCCTATACTCGCATTGATATCTCCCCTCACACCATCACACGCGTTTATGCACAAACGTCTTAATATGATAAACACATAAAAGAATGTAGCGCCAAGATTCTGAGTGCATTAGTTCTATTGTCACAATTAGTGATTTTTTTCGGATTGTTGGGATTTTCAACAGAAAACTGTAAGTAGGTTATCGAACGCTTGTGCGTGGTGTGTTAATAAGAAAAAGTGTTTTCCCGAGAAATTTTGGTGTAGTCGATTTTGTTAAAAAAGGAAGGTTATACACTGCCTTTTCTTTGCCCCGAAAAAAAAATTGTCTCAGATCGTCCCGGAAAAAAATTTTTCTTATAGAACGTGGCCTGTAGAATCCATAATTTCAAACAGTTCCAAGATTGGGCTACTAGTTCAAAAGTTACAGCCCTTTGAATTTTCTTTCGAAATTGGTTTCTAGTCTATAACTTTTGATTGAGAAGTCTGATCGAAAAAGTACGAATTGTTTTGGATTCTACGCACCAAAATTAATAAGAAAAAGTGTTTTCCCGAGAAATTTTGGTGTAGTCGATTTTTGGTAAAAAAGGAAGGTTATACACTGCCTTTTTTTGAGCCCCGAAAAAAAAATTGTCTCAGATCGACCCGGAAAAAAAATTTTCTTATAGAATGTGGCCTGTAGAATCCATAATTTCAAACAGTTCCAAGATTGGGCTACTAGTTCAAAAGTTACAGCCCTTTGAATTTTCTTTCGAAATTGGTTTCTAGTCTATAACTTTTGATTGAGAAGTCTAATCGAAAAAGTACGAATTGTTTTGGATTCTACGCACCAAAATTAATAAGAAAAAGTGTTTTCCCGAGAAATTTTGGTGTAGTCGATTTTTGGTAAAAAAGGAAGGTTATACACTGCCTTTTTTTGAGGGGTGAAAAAAAATTGTCTCAGATCGACCCGGGAAAAAAATTTTTCTTATAGAATGTGGCCTGTAGAATCCATAATTTCAAACAGTTCCAAGATTGGGCTACTGGATCAAAAGTTACAGCCCTTTGAATTTTCTTTCGAAATTGGTTTCTAGTCTATAACTTTTGATTGAGAAGTCTGATCGAAAAAGTACGAATTGTTTTGGATTCTACGCACCAAAATTAATAAGAAAAAGTGTTTTCCCGAGAAATTTTGGTGTAGTCGATTTTTGGTAAAAAAGGAAGGTTATTATGCCTTTTTTTGAGGGGTGAAAAAAAAATTTGTCTCAGATCGACCCGGAAAAAAATTTTTCTTGTAGAATGTGGCCTGTAGAATCCATAATTTGAAACAGTTCCAAGATTGGGCTACTGGATCAAAAGTTACAGCCCTTTGAATTTTATTCACAAATAAACTGTACTTCCAGTACGAAATAAATTACTGATGTCCTGCACTTTGTAAATCTCAATGTAGGCAATGTAGCGCTCTCATGCTCTGGCGCGACGGTTTCCAGAGCTGGAAACACTCGTTTTGATTCTTGAATCTGCTTGAACACTTGTTTCTTATCTTAAAGCTTTATTTCTCGCATATAAGTTGTGTTCTTTTTAATTATGAAGCAGTACACGTTTCCTATACCGGAAAACTTACAAATTTAACCAAAACTCCTCCAATCCTGAAGCTTTCTACATTACTAATTTGCTCAAAAGCCAACAAAAAACACAGCCCCATTTGGCATCAGTTAGGCTGGTGTTCAAATGAAACAAAGTTTACAATAAAATCAATATATTTTATACACGTTTTTTTTAATTATAAATACAATAATTATACATACAATAAGTTTTGTATTACAAAACTGTCAGTAATGGCGAACTTAACACATGAATTAATTACATATCATCACAGATGAAATATTTATTATTACGGTTCATCTATGATGTTGTAAATAAAAGTTCTCTAATGTACATAATATTTCTGTTTAAATAATATAATTCGCTTTTTATTACAATAAATAATACTATAATTGTACTGTACGATTCACTTAACAAAGTGAAAAAATTCCGACAATAAACATAAGTTAAAAAGTAAACCTAATCAACAGGATGACTAAAAAAACCTGCGCCTCTTTTTCTTCATTATATAAAAAAGTACATTCATCACCCTGCTGTTATATATTTACAATGCGTTTACATCTCTAGCTTATATAAATTACGGTGTAGGTAATTGTCGCTAGCTATTATTATATAAATTAAATACTCTTATTTACGTAAAATGATTCTCAAAAGTGTTTTACACATTTATCTAATCTAACTGTAGTTTAACAATGTAAGTTAAGAGCCATGTCGCTGGTCACAATTCTAACACCAGTTTGTATGTAGTTAAGGTATATGCGTTTAAAAAATGGAGTGCATTTCGATAAGTATCCCTGCGTAAGAAGGAAAATGAATGCAGTCGATGTATAAAAGACTTTTTATAACACAAAAATACCCTGATTACAATTGTTTGTTAAGTCTACTTTTACCACCAATGCATGAGTTCCATTTGCATATGCATTTTTTGTTTAATCCATAAAATGACTAAATACCCAAATGTTAATATTGTAATAAAATATAAAAATGCCGATACAATACAGGAATTATGTTGAATACTAGCTAAGTCTAAAACTCTACTTTCCCTGTTAGAGTCTTTATAACCATCTACAACAACATCGTCATAATAATTATTATTAATATCGTCATGCAATTCAGATAATTCGGTTGTTTGAGAATTAACAACGTCATTTACATAAAATGTTAGCTTGTACGGTTCATTATCAAGCGATGGTGGAACTGACGGTTTAAGATTAAGTATATTTTGATTGAGATCGGCAGTCTGGGTTATTAATGCATCTTGGTCAGATGTATCGTTAGAATTGTAAGCAGCGACGTTTATCAGTCAGTAGCATTTCTTCGTACACGCGCATTTGCGTACAATGTCTATGTCTTTAGTGTAACGAGTACCGTCGTTACATATTAAACGCACTTTGCGACGTTTACTTTTACGTGCGTGACAACACATTGTTCCGCATCCTCCTATACATTTCGCCATCTTTAGTGGCTTCCGGGATCGACATCCGTGCTCAGAGTAATATTCTCGTACTTGCTCTTTTCTACATGTAGGCGCTAGAATGAGTATTCAGTTAGTCAAGTGTGACAATCAATCTTAGCGGTTCCTAAACAAATTAGAAGCTTTTAGGGCACAACCAAATTGAAAACACTTTTTTGAATGAATATATGCCTGCACAAGTATAGTTATATGCGTTAGCTGAGAGCTATAATGGTTAATAGAGCTCACCCTCCTCCTCATTATACATGAGATTTCGATACCAATACTCACTAATATAGTAGGGGAGCCCAATATAGAGGAATTTGGGATTTATTCGAGCCCATCAGATTGAAGTAAGGTGGGCTGACCACGTGTTGAAAAGTGTGCATTTCAATAATCCCACGATTTGAGCCTAACGCGAGGAAGTGGGAGTGGGGAGGTCACAAAAAAAAGTTATGAAAAAGGTTGAAAGGCATTTCTCTTAAACACTTACGATATGGATTTCGCGTGATATTGTAGGTCTGCATTGAATCATAGGAAACCTTGGATAATTTAGGAGCACCCAAGGGATCGAGATATTAAATTTCATTTAATAATATAAAAATTTTTTTCTACAACTGTCAAAAAAAACTGTCATTTTCTGACGGATTTCGAAACGCGAAGTACTAGATTTTTAATCGGTTAATTAATAAGTAAGGTTGCTCTTGACAACGTGCGCGAAATCGTCAACAGTGAAAAAAAGTATTTCGCGCACGGGACAAAGTTGAACTTAAACAGCAAATTTAATTAACAATCGGTTCAGTTGTGGAAAAAATATTGTATATAACGCTAGCGCGAAGTTATTTCGCGCATTTGACTGATATTTTGACTCGGCTTCGCCTCGTCAAAATACCTTCAGTCTCAATGCGCGAAATTGAACTTCGCGCTCTTGTTATATAAATAACTATTATGTCTTACTAACCTATAATAGCACACTTTATATCTGTGATACGCGGGCATAAAGTACCACTTTATGCCCTGGGGCATTAAGTATCACCATAGTAACTCATTTATACTTAATGACAAAACAAACAAATATTTGCAGGTCATTGAAAATTAGAAACGTCAATTATTAATTGTCAATAGCTACTAAATCACAAGATTGGCCTTATTTCGTACAGTTTCTGGAACTTCTTGCTCATTCACGATGAATTGAATTATTTAAAATTACGTTTGACGTTTGGATGGTTTCAATCACATTAACAAATTCGAACCACGCATACTCGATCAAACATAATGAATTATTTTGTAAACGAATTTTGACGAAGAAAACTATTTGTAAAACATAAAATTGTGTATGTACCACGGGCATAAACTGATGTTTATACTCTCGGGCGACTAAAAAGCTCTCGGGCCCTCGAGCTTTTTAACTCGTCGCCCTCGAGAATATAAACATCACTATTATGCCCTTAATACATAAATAACTATTTTTGGTGCGCACTTAAAAAATTTGAAGTTTGACACCGGTCCCGTATTTTTGAGAGGTCTAGGAAGGACGTAATTAATTAAAAACCGCATTCGTGGCGCCTTTGGGGACTTTTCGATACTTGACAATGCCGTTTGGCCTAAAAAATGCCCCTGCGACGTTTCAAAGACATAGATATGTTCCGAAATGAACCTCCTAATGTCCTAGTACTCACCTACATATTTGGACGATTTGACAGTTCTACCGGATACTTTTTCTGAACATTTGTCTGATTTGCCTTAAACTGCACCGTTGCGCGTAATCTGGACAAATGCATATATTCGCTAGCGCTAGTGCGCAAGTGAAATACCTGTAAACTACAGTCATTACAGTTATAGATTACCGTCAGTTGACGTTAAGCAAGTACAATCTTTTCTACAGACCTGCAGTTGGTATCGTAGGTTTCTCGCTTTAGTTTACAGAGGTAGTTCGATCATTGTCCAACTTATTGAACGAGAGAAGCTCATGGATCTGGGGACCGGATCATTTAAAGCGCTGAAAAGGATGAAGGAGCGGAAAAACATCCTGTTGAATGTGCGAGTAGACTATTGACGCAAACAGAGGAAAATTACTCGACCGTGGAAAGAGAGGCTCTTGCGGTGGCATGGAAATATTTTTGAATGTACGGGCTGTCCCATTTTTACGGTGTCAATAGACAATTGATATTTTTTAATGGAACATCCTGTATATGTTCAGTTGTTGTCATTTTTTTAACCTCTGAATGGAAACCTATTCACATTTTGATTTTTAGCTCATTTTTTAAGAATAAAAAAACATGTTTGTGTTTTGTCCGTCCGTCCGAACCCACTTTTGCAGTTTCGAACGATTTCTAGGAGAATGGTCCTAGAGTCCTGGATGTGCAGTGCAGTGTGTAGCCTATTCCTTGAAGGTGTGTCAGACAGCCATCAAATTTCGCTGTCTAAAAGCCCCCCCCCCCACAAATTATTTCCTGAGATACTGATTTTGAAAGTAAAACGTGCATAAGTTTTACATACGACAACCAATTGGTCTCAGATTTTGCATGCGCATGCCTTTAGTGAGGCCAAGTTAAACTTTAGAAAATGGACATGGGGCCTTGGGGGGAGGGGGGTTAAAAAAATTTTACCTCTCATTGTATTCTAATTAAAGGGCCGTTTTCTACCAATTACTGCCCTTCTTTCCGTCCTCTTATCAAAGTACGGGGTGGAGGGGGAGGGGGGAGTGGAACTAGATGATAAAGTACCTTCATGCCGGTACTCTAATGAAAGGTCTCAACGAAAGGAATTAATTTCTATCAACCATAGCCCTCCTCCTCGACCTTTTATCGTGATCGGGTATATTCCCTTATACCTCAAGAACGGATTGTCGGAAGAGGGTACTCACAAAGGGCGATCTCAATAAAAAGCAACACTTCATCTTATTTTACTACCAAAAAGGAGTACACTCGCAGCAAATCATAAATTTATGATTTATTTATTTACTGTCTGGCATTCTTCGATGTTTTATTATCATGGCCTACTCCTTCCTATAAACATCTAATATTAATTAATCTGTAACTATTTTTGTGAAAAATATTGAGTAACCTAAAAGCTACGCGGTTTACCCACAGGACACCCCTTATAAAAATTAAAGAGCACACAAAAGACTATCGTATAGGAAAATAAAACAGTGGTAGTTCCATTTAAATAAAAACTTTTAAATATGGAAACTTTACTATTTTTTTTGTAAACACCCTGTATCACTAAATTCAACTCTCTCTTTACCAAAGTGTAACCTTTTATTCAGATTAATATTATTGATCAAATGTATTTCTTAACTTTAAAAGTAAGGTCGCTACGATTTCTCAAAGTGGGACTTGCTTATGGGGAATTATTTGGAAAAAAATTGATAATTTGGCAACATTGACAAAAAACCAAATAACGAATAGATTTCCATGATGTTAAAGCATGCTAGGGCCATTTGTACCTCTATGCAACTGTTTTATCAGCAGTCCATCTTAATTTATAAGTTCGTGGTTCCAACCCTCCGAGCTCGCGCCGTTTTTTTAGGATAGGTATCCGCAAAAAGAAGCATTCGAAGGATTGTGAGAGAGAAAGAAGTAGCCACTTCCGTTAGCACTCGCCAAGTGCCACTTTCGAATTTTTTATTTCCTAAAAGGTACCAAAATAAGGCTCGTCGCAGTGACCGGTCGAAAAGGTCTTAATCGTCCTTTTTGGCCCGCCCGTAGAGCAGCCTTGGTCTAGGTCTTTTTCACCTTCGTCTAGTCCTGAGGCCTGTTTCAGATTTTTCGGGCACATTTTCTGAATTTCTTGGCTCTTTTCAAAGTTTGTCCCAGAGGTCTGTCTAGCTTTGATTATGGTCTGTGAGTGTGGCTCTTTCAAAGGAGCTAGAACGGAATCGAGCAGCTCCTACTGTCAACGTTTGACAGAGCACCATACATGCTGTGCATTTAAAGGTTTAAGTCACTTACCTTTTATTCCCTTTAAAAAGCTTTTCAGTCCTTCCCCTAGATCCCTCTAGGCCCCTACAGATTTTTTATTTTATTTTATTTTGCCTTTATTTTTGAGTGGGCGGGGTTTCAGCCGAGGCTGCTCTACCAACCCAATCCACTATACATTGACAAATATCCATGCCCGAACCCAGATTTGAACCATGGACCCTTAGCACCACAGTTCAGCTTAAAATTATTTGATTTCGAGTGAAAAGCACGCCTTGAAAATCAAGTCAAGTATGTTTTGTGTAGTTTGTGAAAGAATTGTATAAAAAAAGGGCATGGGGGGGGGGGGGGCTAACACCCGACAGACCAAGAACTTTAAAACAAATTTGAATGTGTCAACAGAAATGCCAATGTACACATTGCTTCTAGTTATCACCTCAAATTTTTTTCCAAAGATGGAGAAGGAGGGGAAATTTTTATCAATTAAATATGCTGCAATACTTCTAATTTGCTTGGATTAAAATAGACGCACCTACCACGATATTAGAAAAGCATAAAGTAAAAATTGTTAGTGCCCACTTTATCATACTTACAATCTTCCTCACCTTGCTCGCAGTACTTCCCCTTAAACCCCGTTTTGCATTTACACAAGTACTCTCCATTGCGCGTAGGAATGCATTTGCTGTCATGTTTACAGTGATTACTTTCACAGGGGTCCGGAGGACTGCTTGGCTCCTCAACCATGCCATCCATTTCATCTTCCTGCTGGTCGTCGTCGTCCCTTTCTGACTCGATCAGTGCGCAGCCAGGAGTCACTTTTTGTTGTGTGGCCGCATTACCAAAGTCGACTTGCTTGTGGTTGATCCATACCTCTTTCATGCAACCTGAATTTACAGATTAAAGTCAACATTTGATTCTATTGGTTGATAGCCTATCAGGAAAAAAATTTCTTGTGCGAATTTTTGCACCCGTCTTTTCATTTTTTGTGTGTCTAAAATCAGCGGTTTAGTTCTAAATACTCTGTAAGAATATTCTAAAATAATTCTATGTAGGTATTCCACAAAAAAGAGGATTCTCTGAAAATTCTAAGAATATTCTAAGAAGATTTTTATAATATTCTAAGAAAATAATAAACAGATTATAATTCTACGAATATTTTACGAAAATTTTGAAACAATTCCAAAAGTTCTAAGACGATTATAATCATTCTAATGGTGTGAATTCTAAAAATGTTCTGTATACATTCTAGGGGAATTCTAAAAAAAATTCTAACAGATCTGAAAGTTCTAATGATCCTGGTTCTAAAAGAATATACAAACCATTAAAACTGGACAGGTTCCGTAAATGCCACAATGTGAAAGCTTGTTGGCCGGGTTCTGCTGGTATTCCCCCTAAGTACATTGGCGTCGTTAATTTTAAGTAATCCTTCGAACCCTCGTTGATAATCGAACGTGCTAGACCTCTGTCAACGCGAAGAGTGAAATTCTTCTTAATTGCAATTAATTCAGCAATATGATACTGCCCGTCCGAAACCATTTCAAAACTACAAACAAATTTAAATTTTTTGTAAATCAAACAGTAGGTTAAGTACCTGTACATAGTTGACACTGGGTAATTTCCGATATCGTAACTAATTCGTATTCGTCCATTAAATAATTCCACAGCTAAATGTTCTTGATGACCATCGTATAGCAGCACACCATTTTCTTGATTCGTAGCGAAAATGATAGTGACATTGGCTTCCGGCTTTGTTCTCAATGGCTCCAATTCGACAAAAGAGGTGTTGTGAATGAAACTTAAACTAGTGAGGTATTCGCAGCGCTTTCCTGTACACAACATTGTAAATATTCCAAAGCTATACAACATTGAACAAACCTGAGTATCCAGGAGCGCATTTGCACATATAATCATTTGAGCCTGCCGGTTGGAAGCATACTCCGTGAACGCAATCGTGATGTTGACACGGTGAAGTTTGTGGGTACATCATTGCAACCAGAGGGGTACCTTCGCAAAATTTGCCTGTGTAGTCTCCGGCACATTTACACACATAGTCATTGATGCCGTCGATGCAGGTTGCGCCATTCTAAAAGGTCAGTTATATGGGGTCTTTAAAAGAACTGCGCGCATACCTGGCACATGTGATTTTCACAGTCATCAACGTTATTACTACAATTATCTCCGTTAAAACCAGCGATACATTCGCAGGTATAATGGGTAAAGTGATCAACACACTTAGCATTGTTTTTACAGGGATTATATTCTTTAGTACAAAAGGGTATTTTCTTCTCACAGTAATCGCCCATGAATCCCAAGGAACATTTACACTGGTAAGCCTGAATTAAATCGATGCAGGTCGCATTATTCTGACATTTATTATTTTCGCAATCGTCTATGTTAGATTCACATCGCAACCCGTTAAAGCCCGCCGCGCATACGCAACTAAACCGTCCCTCTTCCAGCACCTTACACGTCGCGTTATTACTGCAAGGATTGCCGTAACAAGCGTCGATCATAAATTCGCAATTCTTCCCGTGGTACCCAGGTGCGCACTTACATTCGTAATCTTTCTCGGCCACACTCGAGCATTTACCCCCATTCTTGCAGGGGAATGTGAAACACGCATCGCACTTCGCCAAAATATCGTTGTTGACTTTCGCTGAAACAAAACCATCGTGAGCACTTGTCATTGTTTACCGCAATATTACTTCTGCAAAGAAACGATGTAGACGGTGTTGATAGTATGAGCTTCTCTTTCATATTAACGGGTTCGGCGCATCGAGCGATACCTGGCTCGACATAGTCGACTTTAACCCACTCCGCTAACCAACGTAACGAACAGTCACAGTAGAGCGGATTTGCACCCAGCGCCCTTAAATGACGAATTTAATTTGAATTACAAATGAATAACACTTACAGGTGGGTGATTGACTTTAAATCGGTGAAAGTTCCTTCTGGAATCATTGATATTTGATTGCCATGCAGAGATCTATAAAATGAGATTATGCAAAAGATAAGTATACAATTGTAAGTTAATATGTTTTTTGTTGTTGTTTTGGTTAAAGTAGTTCAGATTAGGGTTTTTTATATTTTAGCCAAAGCAAAAAGGCGAAGAAAAACAAATCTCCAACGTCCGGCTATTGCAATCAACCATGCTTTGAGTGTGGTCACCTGAGCCACCAGAGGACAACATGTCCAACATGTCCTCGATCCCGCCGTTTTGGATGTCATGAGAAGGATATTGCGTCCAAGTGGCCTCGCTCTCGGGGGGTGGTCATGTAGACAGTCAAGGAGCAGGGCCTCCGTTACCTCTTCCACTAAAATCGACAGGAATAAGGAGTCGTCTCCACTACCCGGCTCCTTGCACCGAAGTGTAAACGAATACCTATTCGTTAAGAACAAAATGAAGAAGGATAAGCGGAGAACCTAAGCGCGCTTATTACACGACGAGGTAAAGTAGGGGGGAAGGACGAGTACTGGTGTATGATACTTGTTCTGAAATTACAATTTGCTAGGGGGTTCGCGTTGCGGAGGTCTACAGCCGCCAACATATAAGGTGTGACTAGGCAATCGCAGCCATGAGTCAGTGGAAAGGATCCAAGACCTGACAATTGAAGTGGACGGGGTCTCGCTGTTGCACCTAGAGCTGGGACGAGCGACGAGCGCTCTAATTTTTTCAAAAATGCTCGCGAGCATCGAGTTGTCTTGCAAAGCGAAAGCGCTTGCGAATTTCGAGCACTCCTAAAAGTGCTCGTGCGGTTTATCGCGAGCGCTCGGGAAAAGTGCTCGTGAGCGCTCGGGAAAAGTGCTCGTGAGCGAAAAAAACACTCGCGAGCGGCGTTTAATCCTTCAGCGCTTGAGGGCGCTCACGAGCGAAAAAAACGCTCATCAGGAGCGGAAAAAGCGCTGGAGAGCGGAAAAGTACTCGAGAGCGGAAAAAGAGCTCGCGAGCGAAAAAAGAGCTTGCGAGCCGAAAAAAACGCTCATGAGCGGAAAAACCGCTCGCGGGCAGAAAAAGGCGCTCGAGCGCCGAGCACTTTAAGTCACCCTCGAGTAACGAGCACCAAGCGGCCGCTCCGAAAAGTGCGAGCGATCCCTCGCAATGGCTTTTTCCCCTTGGAGCACTTTTTGTGGCTGTAAAACCTACAGCCCTTTGAATTTTCTTTCGAAATTGGTTTCTAGTCGATAACTTTTGATTGAGAAGTCTGATCGAAAATGTACGAATTGTTGAGAGAGTCTGATCGAAATGTACGAATTGTTTTGGACTACGCACCAAAATTAATAAGAAAAAGTGTTTTCCCGAGAAATTTTGGTGCAGTCGATGTTCGGTAAAAAAGGAAGGTTATACACTGCCTTTTTTGAGCCCCGAAAAAAAATTGTCTCAGATCGACCCGAAAAAAAATTTTCTTATAGAATGTGGCCTGTAGAATCCATAATTTCAAACAGTTCCAAGATTGGGCTACTAGTTCAAAAGTTACAGCCCTTTGAATTTTCTTTCGAAATTGGTTTCTAGTCTATAACTTTTGATTGAGAAGTCTGATCGAAAATGTACGAATTGTTTTGGATTCTACGCACCAAAATTAATAAGAAAAAGTGTTTTCCCGAGAAATTTTGGTGCAGTCGATTTTTGGTAAAAAAGGAAGGTTATACACTGCCTTTTTTTGAGCCCCGAAAAAAAAATTGTCTCAGATCGACCCGGAAAAAAATTTTCTTATAGAATGTGGCCTGTAGAATCCATAATTTCAAACAGTTCCAAGATTGGGCTACTAGTTCAAAAGTTACAGCCCTTTGAATTTTCTTTCGAAATTGGTTTCTAGTCTATAACTTTTGATTGAGAAGTCTGATCGAAAAAGTACGAATTGTTTTGGATTCTACGCAACAAAATTAATAAGAAAAAGTGTTTTCCCGAGAAATTTTGGTGCAGTCGATTTTTGGTAAAAAAAGGAAGGTTATACACTGCCTTTTTTTGCGCCCCAAAAGAAAAATTGTCTCTGATCGATCCGGAAAAAAATTTTCTTATAGAATGTGGCCTGTAGAATCCATAATTTCAAACAGTTCCTAGATTGGGCTACTAGTTCAAAGGTTACAGCCCTTTGAATTTTCTTTCGAAATTGGTTTCTAGTCCATAACTTTTGATTGAGAAGTCTGATCGAAAAAGTACGAATTGTTTTGGATTCTACGCACAAAATTGATAAGAAAAGTGTTTTCCCGAGAAATTTTGGTGCAGTCGATTTTTGGTAAAAAAGGAAGGTTATACACTGCCTTTTTTTGAGGCCCTAAAAAAAAATTGTCTCAGATCGACCCGGGAAAAAATTTTTCTTATAGAATGTAGCCTGTAGAATCCATAATTTCAAACAGTTCCAAGATTGGGCTACTAGTTCAAAAGTTACAGGCTAAAACGGGTGTCCTATTACATGGGCAAAAATTTATTGGGAGTGGTTTAACTGCATCTGTTGGGTGAACAGATTATAGTATTGTTTAAATTAACTTGATGCTATTTTAGATTATGCTCACTTGAACTGAAATCTTTCATAAACCATTTTCGTCCACTTTAACCATACAGCACCCGGTTTAAGAATACTTACAAGATTCGTAACGATTTCAGTCCAAGAAGTGCGTTCCTTTGAACACACTGTAATTTGTTATAGCTTATAATTAGCGTGGATAGCTTTGACAAATTATTAAAGGTGTTGTTTGCTAATATTCCAATTTGATTATTACTCAAATCTCTAAAATGCGACAGGTGATTTGACTTATTAGACTAACAAATACTCACAGTCTTGTAAGCGCTTTCAAATGTGCCATACGCTCGGCTTGTACGCTTTGTATCTCATTGACATCTAAATACAGCTCGGATGTTTCGGCCGGTATTCCCCTAGGTATTTCTTTCAGTTTAGCTCTGGAACACCTCACAACAGTTCCAGTACACGTACACATCGGTGGACAGTAATTATCCCCCAAACAACCTTGGTCGCCGTCACCCGTACACTTAAACTCACTCTGTGGCAGTTCCTTGATTAGCACATCTTTCACTTTATCTGGCGATGCACATCTGGGAGACGAACCGCTCAGTCCCTTATTCTTCAACCATTCCGAAAACCAAGCCAAATGACAGTTGCATATGAATGGGTTTTGTACCAAATTCCTAGACAATTTGTAATGAATGGGGTAGTTTCGCGCAAGTGTGGAACTTACAGAGTGTGCAACGACGTCAAATGGTCAAAGGCTCCCGGCATTACGCAAGTTATCAAATTATTATTCAAACTCAATACCTTCAAATTGTGCAAACCATAAAACATTTTGTTATGTATCTCCAACAATTTGTTCTCGGACAACAACAACTCCGATATTTTACTCGCACCGTCAAACGCATTCTTTTCAATGCCGATTATTTGGTTACGCCTTAAATCCAGCTTAACCAAATTTGGCAGTCGTCCAAAAAGGCCGTCGGATTTAATTTTTCCCAGATCGTTGTCTTGTAGCAGTAATTCTGTTGTATATAACGGTATGTCGCGTGGGATTTCTTTAAGTCCGCGTCCGGAACAATCGACATTGGTACCATCGCAAGTGCACCCACTCGGACAGGCGTTGTCGATAAGACACTCGCCGGCGTAACGCGTTCTGAACTCTTCCTGACCTAAAATTTCTAGGGGTCAATCCAGGTGTAAACCACAAATGCGCGATGTGTACGATCTTATTAGAGATGAAGTTATTTACAGACACATGAGATTAAAGTGTTAAAATAAATGAACACCGTTACCACTGATTATCTAGTGGAGGTGCTTACCCTTACATTTGAACTTTTCATCTTTGAGAGATTCGATTCGTCTCCGTTGCATACGCTTTGGCGTATCGCATCGCGCTCCACTCGTTTCTATTGGGTTTCGATGAAGGTACTCGGCTAGCCATCGAAGATTGCAATCGCATATAAAAGGATTCCTCGCTAAATGACTGAATTTTAATTATTATAATGTAATTAATTTACTGTCATACTTACAGGGTTTGTATACTTTTAAGGTAGTCGAACGTTCCATTGGCTAATGACTGGATGTTGTTATCATACAGCGACCTAGTAGATTGAAACTATAAGTATTAAATGTGTAGACTAAATATGAGAGAGTAGGTATTAATGTTGAGTCAAAGTCTTTTACTCGACGATATTAATAACTACTTGTTTTTGAGATAATGCATTGACATTGCTTTAATATATAAATAGGTACAAACTACAAAGGACCCGTTTATTTGGCATTAATTGAACACTCATATAATCATTAGGTATAGGTGCATATACCTACACTGCCTACACAAAATAAAATTTGGTTGGATTAGTGGTTTGGTTCAAGGTTTAGGGAAAATGTTAATTTACAGGAGATTTACAAGAGAAGATAAACGAAAGATACCTACTTAAGGCGGCTCTGCAGTGAATATTGAACTATCCGCAAAACAGCGAATCATTTCTTTAAGATTTTGATTTTATAACCGCATTTAAAAAGGGTCGACGTCAAATATTGTAGGTATTAATCAACAGAATGATTGTGCGTAAACCAAATTTTGAAGTTTGCCATAATTTTGGAAATAACTAGTACCTACAATTGATAAAGCTTGTCTTTAAGATAACGGCGCCTCTATAAAACATAGGTACAGACATGGGTTTTGGCGATTTACAACCAGCGAACAAAACTGTATGATTGTACATAGATATATCTTTTTCATCCCTTAAATTAACAACAAAAATTGGGGAAAATGTTTTGATGACATCATGAAGTATTTCACCAATTGAAAGCACAGTTAGGCAACTTAAATTACACCATACACCCGCCGGCGAAATTGTCATTAACTGGCAATTGCGAATTAATCCTATTCATTTTTCTAACAATAGCTTTAGAGATTAGGCTATTCATTGTTATCTGCAATGGAATTCACCGCCTTGAGCTTTGTCCGGCGTCATTAACACCATCCTATAATTAGATAATAATGTAATTTAATGTATTTGTAATTTGTTTACTGGTTTCATTGATTAGAAGTTTGTAATGATAAGATTCTTGTGGACACCCACTTCCGTAATTACACCAAGTATTACAGGCCGTGTCACGCAAACCGATACCTAGAAGTATTCAGGCTTTCATTGATCAATTACATCTGACAATGTGTAGGTACACCGACATAGTTTTTCTTGACCTATCGAAAGAATGATCGTTTCACTTCTGGTTCTATCGCATGTCGATAGCAACTTCTCTTTTACATAGAACACCCTGTATTTTCCAAATCTACATGACAATTTACGCCGTTTGATACCAATTTCCCCTATATGCAGGATTTCAAGTTATTCAACATTTTGAACATTTTTGATGTTTGGCTGTTATCTTTTTGAGTCCTGTATCTATGACTCCGTTGCCTTCAATTTTAAAAAGTATTCCAAAATCGGCAGTACTCACTTGATGCTGCAATGATTTAAATTTTGTTCGCCCTATTACAGGGTGTTTTAAAACGAATGTTCAACTTCATTTAACTTCAAACCTTAAAAAGTTGATTTTTTCAAACGAAACATGCTTTATTTTTTTGCACTGTCAAATGTCAAAAACATTCTACAATGATCTAGTATTACATTCCCTATACTCGTACATATCATTCTGTAATGCTTTCCGTTTTATTATAGATTTTCTAAAAATGTGACCGTTATGCATAATTTCCTTAGGAGGCCTAAAAGCGTTAGTAAATGTTATTTTACCAGCATTTGAGAATTTACATGAAGAAAACAACTGGTTTCAACATGACGGAGCGCGGGCTCATTCTATCCATGATGCTTATACATACGACACTGTATATCTTTGACGAACATTTTTTGAAGATAGGAGCCAGAGGTCCGTGGCGTTGGCCTCCTAGAACTTATCAGATATAACGCCATTGGGGTTTTTTGTGTGGGGTCATATAAAGACAACATTTACTTCACACCAGTTGCTTTTCGTGAAGAACTGGAAGTTAGGCAGAGCTTTTGATGAAATGACAGACATTAGAGAGACGACTACCAACGGAATTAATGGGAAGATCCTATTATGTACCTATTGAAAAAAACGGCGGCCACGTAGAACAAAACCTCAATTGATGTTGGTTTTTTATATTGTCGTTTGTTATTATTACCTGTTTCTGTTTATTATGTCTTCTTTATTTAACTTTATATTCATCTACCATCACTATCAACTATAACTATAAAAAGGTCTGACAAGTCTTCTAACGTTATTTCAAAGCTTTCTAAGAAAATGCATAAGGGTCACAATTTTAGAAAATCTAAAATATAACGGAACGCATAACAGATAGGTAAACGGAACGTAATACTAAATTGCTGTAGAATTTTTTTCGACATTTGAAAGTGCAAAAAAATAAAGCATGTATCTGCATGTATTAATAAAGTTGACCATTCGTTTTAAAACACCCTGTAAAAGGGCGATCAAAATTTAAATCATTGTCACGTAGAATCAAGTCAGTACCTACTGTTAATTTTTGAATTTTGAAAAATCTTGAATTACTTGAAAACCTTAGATGCTGGGTATAGGGAAATGTGGTAGATTCCGAAAATGTAATAAAATACAGGGTGTTTTATTTAAAATAAGAAAGTTACTATAGACATCCGGTAGAAACGGTAGTGCAAAAATCATGATAATATTTTCTTTCGACAGATCATAAAAATCTATGTTGGCAAGTAAATTTTCAGATTTAAATGATAATGAAAGGCTGAATACTTCTAGGTAACGGTAATTGTATCTGTCTATGACTAATGTAGTCATTTCAAAATAAATCCAGCTCAACAAATTACAAAAGACAGAAAAGAGGTATTTCAATTCATTTACTTAGGTACTAATTGCTTTGTTTGTGAATGAATAGCACCTATAGCCTGCAGCGTTTTAGAATCCACATTAGAAACATCAATAAATTGTATTGTTAGTTGCCTACAAATTTTTCTGTGTAGGCGCAAGATCGAAATCTTAATTCACTGCAGAGCCGCCTTAACCGCTACCGTAAGAAAGTGAAATAAATTAATAAGGAATATTACATTTTTCATATTTTAAGTACCTATGTACCACATTGAAAATGTGAATAAAAATTCCTCTAAGGCGACCTTTCTGCTTTAAATAAAAATCAGTCGTTCATTTGCACTTTTTTTCAGATTTTCCTCAATAAACTTATCCATAACCACTACTTATATTTACAAAAAAAAACTCATTAAATATGCTAAATGATTTTTTCTAGCTTTGACCATTTGGGTAGATACTTATATAGGTGTATAAGTAGAAAAAGTCTATGAAGTCCAGTTCCCCAGGGGTTTCTCCTAAGAAAATCCTTAAACAAAATATAAATACACAATTCATCCATAAAGCTCTTAGTCTGACAACTCCCCTATGAGGGGCACTGGACCGGTTGAGGCATAGCCCATTGCATTCAGATGATTCAGAGCACGCGGCCAAGTTTGGGACGCCTGCATACTGACAGCCACATCTTGGTCCGCACCCTGTCTTGCATGACACGATGCGGACCGGTTCTAGCGCTGACGACCCTTCTTTCAACCCCCATTGCTATGGATCCAGAGAGTTTCTCACCCACAAGTGGATCTGATAATAATAATAATATTGCCTTTATTATTAAAAAAAAAACAAGGTACATCAAAAATTAAGGGCGAAGTTCAGTACTGCGGCTGTGCGATGTATTCAACTGAAGAAACCGTTGATATGGTCAATTGGTATAGAGCCGGTAACAGTTTAAGGAGCGTAAAACAGTTATTTTCAGTGAAGACTAAGCAACAATATTCAAATTAAGTAATATGACAATCAGATTTGTTTTTGTTTTGAGAAGTTATTTTGGATGCATAAAATTAGGCGCCCATCAGAAGAGATTTTGTCATTTAAAAGTAGACATATGGAAAATAATACACGCAAATCCCTATGTATACTCCTTAATAAATATCACAGTTTTCTGTTCTACAAAGATCGACCTTGTTGAGTGGTACAGTCACAAATCTAAGTAGGTGTAGTACTTATACATACTCAAGGACTATGCAAAATTAAAAGAATCACACATTGTGCATAGAAAAGTCAAACCCATTCATGATGCTAAAATGGGCCAATGAAATAAATGCCTGATCTTGCATCAATAAGTATATACCATCTTTTACGTACACGTACCAAATAAAAAATACAAATCTACACATATTCCCTTATTAAGTTATATAACTTATTAAAAAAAACAAGATAGAAAATACGTACAGCAGATTTAAACTGTGAAGATCATTGAAAGCGTCCTTCCGGATGCACGATATTTCATTGGCATTCAGCAATCTGCAATAATCCCAAGTTAAACTACTTACAAAGTAAGACCGCCCGCACTTACAAAAGTTGTAATGAAACCAAACCGTGAAACACTCCAGCCGGCAAATCCTTTATTTTGTTACCATACAACACTCTAAAATCAGAACGATGAAGCAGATTTTTACAATTTGGTATAATACATACAGGGATGTCAACGCCTTCAAGCCTTGAAAGGCGTCGGGAGCAATTTTTGATATTTTGTTATTGCTCAGGTCTCTACAAAGCAGATAAATATAAAATTACTCATCATTTGCATACGTACATTCTCCGTAAACGTTTGTGTGCTGCGAACGCCTTCGTTGGGATTTCGGTGATGTCGTTCAGTTCCAATCGTCTGAAACAAGCTGCTGTGTTTATTCATTTGAACACATGTAAATGACAGGATTGACAGCTAAGTTATCAAATTCAAGTTTCTGATGATGGGCCTCATAGACATTATTTTGTATACTTTTGGAGTAATATGTTTTGGTAAGTAAGTTCCCTAATATGCGCGTTTGTGATTAAGAGCAATAATTTAATTTTAGTTATGGGAGTTATAATTACTGTTGATTTTTTTCTATTTTACTCGTATTTGCTTAATTTACCCCCCCACCAAGAAATAATTGAAACCAAGCGTGTATATAAGAAATACAATAATTATATATAATTTTTATCAACCAGATGTACTGATTTCGTTGACAATAATGGCTTTTACCAAATACCTTAATAAATATTATATATTATAATACAATATAGTAAGGTATTTGGCCTTATCTAAAGGACATTTTCAACACTGTTTCATACAGTGAAAAAAGAAGCTCGAATTATAGCATTTCGGCTTATTAAAACTAGAAATTCGTCGAAAGTTGAAGCGAAATGAGGTTCCCATTTCGTATTATAACGCAAACTCTTGAAATTTGTATGCCGAAATTTTACGAAAAGATTGGATATGGTCTTTCCCGTAAGGCCCAACAGGCTATAGTCTAGAGGTCTAGGAATTTAATCTCTATTTCTTAATCCAAGTTGAACCATTTCTATATAGCGCAATTTTAAAATTTAAGATGGCAGTTACGCCTTCTGGTGGTCATTTTTAGAACTTGAAAATATTTTCCAGCGATTCTTCATGACCGATTTACCTGATAATTTTTTTACCCCTAAGTCATACGACGAACGGTAAGTACCCGAGATATGGATCACCCGGTACAACTCACCGAAAAATATAGGTACCAATTGGTCTACGATCTGTTGCTTGAACCGTGAATCATTATGACTATAATGCTCGCCGGCAAAAAAAATTGGCACCGAAAATGAACATGAGAGGAAAAAAAGAAGAAATTGAGGTGGAAGCAATTATGCATTTTGATGACAGTAGACGAGTCCTTGGAAGGTATTTGTGAGAATAAGCTGAAGAAAAACTTGAGAACAACTTGTGACGAATTTGATACAAATGAGGGAAACTGGATGGTTGGGGACAATCAGAGAAAGTTGAGAACCCATGAGCAACTTGAGATCAAAACCTCAGAGGAATTTAAAAGACGCTTCAGGAAAACGCGAAGGAAATGTGAGGAAGTAATCGAAGAGAATGTAATGTAAAGGAAACTTAAAATTAATTTGAAAGAAACATAAGAAGGAGCATCTTTTGGTAGACAAAAATTGAGCGGAATGATAAAATTTGAGGACAAGTTTACGAGAACATACATAATAAAGGGGCCTGCAGCCTGCAGGAAGGTTCGGCGAACTTGGGAAGAATTTAATGGAAGCTTCAGGAAAGTTGAGGATTTGAAAGAAGAAATTCAGGAAAGTGTTATTAGATCAAACGGTGGTGAAAATTGACAAAATGATATATAGGGCGGTTGTTAGTACCTCAATAGTTCAATGAATAAGAGAACTAGCGGAAAATATAACATTGTTAGGGTTATTTAAAATCTATTATCCCAAAGAAAAATTACTAGGAAAATTAAGTATTGTATAGGTACGGGTTAACGGGCTGGTCAAAAAGTCGTAGCAACAGAATTATGTTTAATGGAAAGCGAAGTTGGAAAAAAATGTAAAGGATATCTAAAGAACCCACAAAGGGGACGCAAAGAAAAAGTGTGTAATGGTTCAAGGAGGTATGATAAAGGGTAACAGGACAGGAGGCAGCGACGTCGGAAGTGAAAAGCTTTAGCCAAAAGCATCTACAAAATTTCCATACAACTGAATACCGAACGGTCCTCGAGATCTCTACGCATCCATTATTTTTACAAAAAACACACAAAGGGGTTGATTCTGTCCCACTAGATCAGTAAAGCTTGTAAAACAAATTTTTGGAATCTTGAGGTAACTAATAAAAAAATAAATAAAACAAGGCGAGTAACGTTAGCGCATTTTCCACGAAATGATCAATACTTCTAAATTGGGATCCATCTCATCTTGTGAACTTTAAAAAAAATTGGAAGATGATCAGTACTTCTAGAAAGCTCTTATAACGAACTATTTACGTGTACAAAGGATAATACGTTATGGCATAAATATTCTTATAAGGAACTTACCATTGCGCAATCTGTGCATGCACACACCTGATGTTTAAAATATGCGATATGTTTGGTTTTACTACAAGAATCTGTGGTAAAAATTTCAAAAAAATCTCTATAAATAAGAATGTTGACATAGCGCAGTTTGCGCATGCCCACGTCTGACTTTTACTATATGCGGTATGTTTGCCTTTTTCAGAAGTATATAATTTTCAAAAAATATCTATAAATAAAAAAGTTAACACCTCAAGATTTTTCTTAGTTGAGGTTCCAGAGTTTTAGGCTACCGAATGCAAAAAGAACGAACTAAATATCTTGAAAACTGTAGTAGGTAAGGTCTCGGACGGACGGACGTAGGAAGTGGCCATAATAGCGCCTTCCAACGTGAGTTGGAAAATGCGTTAAAAATGGATTGCGCAAATAGAAAAGTTGAGTTGCGCATGCGCAAATTTTTAAATTCATCTGCAAGTAATGGAATATTAACTAACACTAAACACTGGAAAGCCGACATCCATAACTTTGTAACAAGAATGATAAAAGAAACCCTTATTTTGGCAGTAACTTTTTGACCCGTTAGTCTATGTAGCTGAAAAATAATAGCGACGTCTCTTATATCCTGAACAAAAAAACACCCAAAGAGCGTCGCTTTCAATCGAAGTTTGAAAATGATGTAGTCGTATTGTGAGTGATCGCAATAATTTTGTCCCAAGACTCCCAAGCCACAGCTTTATTAGAACACCTTGATATAAAGGTGCTAATGGTACAGGTCCCACGTTATCATAGCTTAGGTAAATAATAAGAGACATAAAAAGGTTCCCTCTTATATGTATCAGGCAAGGTCACAAATAAACGTGTAAACAAATATAGAAAAAGAGCTCCTGGGTATGGCTACAGCATGTGCAAAAGCAAATTTTGAAACTGGCGTTACATTTGCTCTTATTCCAAATGGCTATGTATCAAATTTCATTTAAATTTTAAAAGCTTTCATAAATATGAAAGTTTTCAATTCGGTTTAGAAATTGTCGAGATGCGAAAAGGGCACTGTGAATGTTGATCGATTACGCTCAATTTTTGGAATTTCGTTTTATATGGCTAAAGCTATACGCATATTGAATTTCATGTAATTCGGGTCATACTCATGGATATGTCAAAAGGGCCTTCCTTATTTTTTGGGCTACATTGCCATTTCACGAACTCCGATCTACAAATTTGATAAAGAATCCACCCACAAAATTTCATCGTAAACGGTCTATTCGTTATAGAGAATATCGTGCTAACGAACGGACGGACAGACACCGCACAATTATAAACTCGCTAATAAAGAAACGAGAGCGCTTGATAGTAAGTTTGTTCCGTTATTCTTTTGTTTATTCATAATAAACCATTGATTCCCTTTAGATCTCGTCCTACCTTCACTGCATTACATAATTATGAAATCGCATTTTAAGTGTAACAATAAAAAAAACAAAATATGGGTTATGCATTTTAGTAGTTTAGATTAGAAAGGATATCCAATAGTTAGTGTTTAAAGTGAATAAATCATACCTTTACTACAAACATGGTCCTAATTTCTGTATAATTTTACAAATTCATTGGATCCAATGAACTGAAATATGAAACAATAATCGGGCGCATATAAATTAATCAGAAGCACTTTAGTTATGTAATAATTATGTTACATAAGTAACAACGAAAAAATTAAAGAACCGTACTTATAAGTTGTAATTCAATTCAATGCCAATTATAAAAATATACGGACCACAGGTATCCTAACTAAAACTTATCAGATCACCAAAGACGATTGTGTTGTTATTCACGAATTTATTGGGCAAAATTTTTATGTTCTAATTTCTTTAGAAGAGGCGCCTTTGCACAATGGCGAAAAACAGCCTCTCATTAACAAAAATTATGTGTCGGGTATGTCTTGATTGCCATACCCCATGGGTCGATGACCCACGTGCTATTAAGAGCAAACACCCTTTTTATTCAGAAACGAATTAGTCCGTACGATGTATACCACACTACCCGCATTTATATCTAGGAGCGTTTACAAACGTGCCATCTAGTGATATAACTCGTAAACATTAGTACAAGTATCAAAAGGAATCAATATAAGACTACGACACTGGTCCATTAGATGGCGCGGGCTGCATTACATTCTGATTTTAAATAAGGGTTCAAGCAAGACCTCACCGCCACAGGCTAAGATAATGTATGCTCTTTACCTCGGTTTAATATTTTTTATATTGCCTTTTTGCGAACTTTCAAAACACTTTCATTATGTACTGTAATTTGCGCCACGGGTAAACTTGCCTTCGCTCTGGCACATTCACCCCTGTAAATTCGTCCCGGAAACATTTGCCTTTGCAATAACATCATTCCACAGTTGCAATTCTGAGGTATTCGATTTATCATCGAATCTTCGCCTCCAAGAAGTGGACTTGGAGTTGTTTCATCTGGTCATTCGCGAAAAGATGCTCCATTGTGAAACGGCCGAAAGAAACGTTTTAGCAACTTGATAGGACACCTTCACCTTTGGGATCATTTGTGTCAGAGCCGTTTTACAATAGGGCAGATTTTGGCGTCCTGAATAAGTGGCGCACAAATTGCAAGATTTTTGCAATCAATTGTAACATTTTTGACTAAGGGTACGGGTACCTATCTATTTATTGCAGTGAAATAAGTGTGTATCAAGAGCTAATTTTGTATATAAAATATGATCAGTTTGCTTACGCAATCACATCAATCTTTCGAGGACAAATAATATGTACCTGCCTGTTTTTCGATTATAAAAAACAAAAAACAATGCTTTTTGATAAAAAGTAGAAAATACTTCAACTGAAAATTCTAATAAGATTGCAATAAGTGACGATTGACGATTATTAAACTAGGCGCATTTATCAAGTTGTAGATAGACACGGTTCGTTTTTCGCAAATGACGAAATTGCATTCCCTCGCAAGTGTTTCGCAACAACCATAACTTTATTATTAGAAGAATATGGAAGTAAGGGCTTTATTTAGATTTTCGGATACGTCAAAATTTCTACCCCTAGCAACTTTTCAATATGAAAATAACGAATCTAAAACCGATTTTTGTAAATTTGAAAACAAAATCCCTGTCTTACTGAAACTGATTGCGTATGCCCAAATCTAGAGATTTATCTAAGAAGGAAGTGTAATTTTCTACGCGTTGGAATAATTTTCGTCTCTCCGTTTAGGGGTGCGTCATTTAACCTCCGCACACACGCAAAATTACGAATTTTTAACGTTCACAGTTTTGTATTTTTCAATTGCCTAATTCAAACATGAACTCATCACTACACTAATAGAAATGTGTCCAAAGAGTTCACAAAATAAGAGATCAATTACCCCGTGCAAAGGCGGACTGGCATACAATTCATGACAACTAAATAGAGGTCGCCAATGACAAATTGCAATGTAAAATTGTATCGAACTTTGAGATGGTTTTTGAAAAATATAAATTCTAAGTGACTATATAAAGTTTTTATTAAAAAGACTGTAATTACTACAATATTCTTAAAATAAGACGGGAAAATTTTATTTAAGTAGAGTTCCATTACAACTAATATTTCAGCAAGTATCATAATATCGACTTAATTCTTTATTTTTTTGTTATTTGCGACATTTTCAACATGCGAAACTAGATGACTCACTAGTAGGCGGGGAACACTTTCTGACCCGAAGGACCAATCTTCAAATGAGTATAACTTTTGTTTGAAAAGTGATTTTAAACATTTTTTCGCACCCCCATTTAAGGGTCCGCCCTCTTGGGGTAGGAATTTCGAAAAACAATTGGCAAAATTTTAAAGTGCATGCCCTAAAACTTATTCAAAGTCGTGCCACTCGTCATTGTAACTCGTATGATTGCTAAGAAAAATAAATAGTAAAGAAGAAATGCAACTTCCTTGAGGGTGGCTCCAAAACGAAACACGTTGGATCCTCGGATTATTTGAAAAAAAGTGCTTATTTTGATCCCCTCTTCCACCCAATTTTTTTACATACGTATATATGTAACACCCTGTAGAGTACATTTCTAATAAATATAGAAGTTCCGTCTTTTGTACGTAACAATACCTATTCACAGACCGCTTAGTTATGAATTAAAGCAAACTACAGTAGAATCTTCATAATCCGACACATATGGGACCACACAACCGCCGGATTATCAAATAATCCGGATTATCGAGAGTAAAAGAGAAAAAACACCAATTTTACTATGAATATATGTGCATACAATGAAAATGCTTACCAATTATACACAAATACGTAATTTTACACACAAGAAATTTGGCAAAATCGTTTTTATTTTTTACTGAAGTTATTTAAAAAGATATTTCGAAATAAATAACACATTATTATGGCCACTTTCTACAAGATGCTAGTTTCAAATTTTAAATCCGACGTTTCGTCTCCGGTTGACCATCATCAACTTTCTTTTTTCTTATGGAAGTAATTTTTACTTTTTGGATCATTTGATAGAGAATTCAAAAGAGAATGCAAAAATATAAACATCACAATTTTTTAAAATTATTAATATATTTTCTTTTTTGCCTAGAAAACTTTGTCTTTGATAGTGTACGTACGTAGTTTCTTGCGTTTTTACGAATTAATAGCGCTATTTATGATTAAAAGATAGTGATGTTTACATTTTTGAAATCAGAAAAAAATTCTCCATCAAATGACACAAAAAGTAAAAATTACTTCCAAAAGAAAAAACAAAGTTGATTAACTGAAGACAAAACGTCAAACTTAAAATTTAAAGTAGCACCTTGTAGAGGGACAAAAGTGGCTATAATAATGTATATTTATTTCGAAATATCTTTTTAAATAACTTCAGTAAAAAATAAAAACGATTTTGCAAAGTTTAGGCTTTTCCCGGATATCTCCGAAAGTAGTCGGAATTGTATAAGTTTCAAAACTGCATTTTGTTAAGCATCAAAATATGCAACATTGCCAAATTTAAACTACCTATCTATCTCTTACAGTTCCCGAAATCCCCATGGTGGCCCTCGAATTTGAATCGCCCTTATAGGGTGGTCTGTATGAAAAAATGTAGCTTAGGGTCGTATAACGAAAACCAAACACCCTGCATAAAAACTGTGTATCGCGATGGATTTTACATAAAAATACCCCATAACGGCCAGATGATTAGAGCTAGCTGAATTCTGTCCGCGCCAGTGATTTTCTCTTTAAAATTTTAAAATCCTCCACACACCTAGGTCCATGTTTTTTGATCTCTTAAAATAAAGTGAGTTTTTCAAAAAGAAAGTGCCCAATTTGGAGCATCATGTACAACCCCCCCCCCCCCCCCCCATAGTCAATTGGTTAGTGTTTCATATGAAAATTGATTGTCAAATTTAAGTTGATTAATCGACTTTGAGGTTATGTTTAAGCCGGTAGAATCATAAAAAAATGCAGTTTTAAAAGTTTCTCAAGCCCTCTCCTCAATAGTTTACTTTAGGTCATATCAAATACGAATAGATAAAATTAAATATTCTAATGTAGACGGCTACGGTAATGAGAGAATGAGTAGCTGGAGGAACTGAACCTGTACCTCTTTGCATGTTTTTGATTCAAACATTGTAATATAGTTCCGTTTTATCTGAATATCTTTGTGAGTAAAATATTTAGTGTGTTGGTGAAATCAAATCATCCTCAAAGGTTTTTTGTCAAGTGGAAACATAAACATTAACTTAGGGGAGGAGGGGACAGGGTGGCGATAGAACAAAGGTTAATTCACCTAATCGAAAACGTTATGCTCTACAAGAAAAGTAACCACACCTTTTTTGATAAAGGGTATAGATTTCGCGTCAAATGTCAAAAAATTAAAAAAAGCTAACTTTTGTGGTGGCTTACCCTCCTCTGCAAGAGCGAGGTGTTTTGGTCCAATAGGCAATCGTGCAAAATGGTTTGCTTTAATCATCAAACGCCCTATAATTTCATGTAAAAACATTTCCCAAAAAAAGTCCTAAATCGGAGTTGTTGAGGGTTACGAAATATCAATAAAATAGAAAATATACAGCCTTTATGTAATTTTGATAGTACGTATAGTGTTCCATTCTAAAATTCTTTTAGAGTGGGTAGTTACACTCTCGAAAAAAATGGGTCTGCACTGCTTTCAATTTAAAAGACAAAACAGTTTTTGTTAGTATTTCAAAAATTCTGAATTGAGCGCCTAAGAGTTAAACTTGTTTCTTTTTCATTTTCAGTACCTTCTGAAGTCTGAGTACCTTTCATCTGCATGTTAGTTTTCCGTAGGTAGGTCAGGGCCATAGCCAGGGGGGTGCCAAAGGGTGCCTGGCACCCTCTGGATATTAAGTGTCATCCTATGACCGATCACGATCAGAATCGTAAAATAAAAATGTACAATAGTGCTATTTTTGTACATTGTAAATTAATTATCATATCACAAATATACAATATTATTGTTGTTCATAATTATTACAATAAAATTGAATGAAAATGATTATTCTTGATAATTATAATACCTACGTACTACATTTTATAGTATGAGTACAATAATGGTAGGCAACGTATGGAATAATTAGCCTAAGAATAAAGTTATTCCTTTCTTATATTTTTAAAGTTATTTTTACCGCATTTTTTAAGAATAAAAAAAAATGTGCTATTGTTTGCGTTTTTTCCGTCCGTCCGCCTGTCTGTCTGTCCGTCCGTCCGTTAGCACGATATCTCATAAACGAATGGACCGATTACGATGAAATTTTGCAGGTGGATTCTTTATCAGCCCTTTTGACATATTCGTTAGTTATGAACCGAATTGCATGAAATTCAATATGTGCATAGCTTTAACCATATAAAACGCAATTCCAAAAGTTGAGCCTAATCGATCACCATTCATAGTGCCCTTTGTGCATCTCGACTATTTATAAACCGAATTGCAAACTTTCTTATTTATGAAGGTATTTAAATGAAATTTGATACCTAGCCACTTGGACTCAAAGAAAATCTAATGCCAGTTTCAAAATTTTGTTTTGCGCATATTTTTTGATTTTTTGACAAACAAGTTTCTCGAGACTTTATTTTTGTAAACAATAAGTGCACCCTCCAACATTTCGTTTGCACCCTTACAATTTTCGTTCTAGCTACGGCCCTGAAGTAGGTATATTTTTAATGAATTTAATATAATCGTGAAAATGGTATTTCAGTCGGGCCACAGTTTTCGATGATAATATATACTTTTTAGTACCTGTAGCAATTATACGAGTACATTCGCCCAGTATTTTAAAATAGTTCCCTTTTCGTTTAATTAATTTCTTCGTGTTAACATTTACTTAAAGGCAGTATTATCTTTGCTTAAAGCAAGCTAGATTGATTAAAATTGTTTGGTTACTGAATACAGAAAGGATCTTAAATTTTTCTGGGTACATTACTAGCACGTATGGGTAGTAAGTGCCGTTTTGCACATTTTTTTTTGTATTTACTAAGGGAATGTGTGAAAAAATTCTAAAACCAGTAGATAACGTCTTTTTGTTTTAAGACCGTTATAAATCTGCAAAATTTAAATGCGAGTTTCATATAAAAATTGGACGTACAATTCGGTTGTTCCATCCGGAAGATGATCGGGAACCTTTGAAAGGGCCTTCTCACGACAGTCTACAATTCCATCGGCGCACCGACATGGATGCGGGCACTGAGGTTCGCTGATACATTCTCCGCTGATTGCCTTCTCGACCAAACCTAATATAAAAAAACCTTATTAAGTGACAGGCTCACCCTAGGTCTTACCAGAGCATTTAAATTCTTGGTCCTGTAAATCGGCGATATTCTGTCCCTTTAAGTGATTGGGCGAATTGCATCTCGTGTACTGCGCCAAACGTGGCGAATGCCTTAAGTATCTCGCCAACCATGACAACTGGCAGTCGCAGTGGAATAAATTGTCGTTGAGTCTTAACGTACGCAATCGAAACATGTTGCTGAACATATCTTTGCCAATCCATGTTAAATTGTTATTATTTAATGTCCTAAAATGACCCGTTAACGAAAATGAATAATAAAATTAGTACCCTCACAATATTTCCAAATCCTTAAAGCTCCTCAAAGCCAAATCGTCAATGCACGTCAGATGATTATTATCGAGTTGCCTACAATGCATAAATGTAAATCACGCCGGTTTCAAAGTAAGAATACGTACAGGTTTTTGATTGCCGTGATGCCCCTGAGTGTTTTTCGTCCAATTACCGTAATCGAGTTGTGGCTAAGATCCCTGAAAAAAAAGTACTGTTTAATTATCATTTCATCTCTTTGTGCCTATGTACATAATAAAAAGCACAAAGGTTAGATATACGCAATTACGCAACCATGGAATCCATTCAATATTGTAATCACTGCAAATAATGATGAGTAAAACGCGTCAAAATTCGATTTATCTATAAACTTTCGATTTGTTCGGCCCATAATTATAATTTTTCAGTCTTCAGTTGTACTCCGGTATTTTACCTTACGCACTAGGAAAACTGCAGGAAAACCTAATTCGGAGTAGCCGGTAGAATGCTCGAAACTGGTCTAAGGAAATTCCCATCTCTGTCACAGATGAAAAGTTCTTACCTCAGTTCAGGTTCGAAATCTTGCTTTTTTGAAAAAAAAAGTTTGATGCCTTTGAGGCGCTCCACATTTTTTTTTAAATCCAGCACGTTATTTTCAGTTTCCGTATGCCTAATAACACATCCAAAATTTGAATCGAATCCGTCGAGCCGATACCTCGGAAAATTGCCAACATAAATATGTACTATACAGACGGAAATAGTTTACGTAAAAGTCAGGAAAATGATACATTACTGCCGAGGAAATATCGAAGTGCGAAGCCCCTCTGGGGCCGAGTACTTTAATTTCTGAGTCAGGTAATGTCATTTTACTCCAAATATTCAATTAAATTCATCTTGTTTTTAGTAATATACCTACATATATTCACAGTTTATGAATATACAGGGTGACACTTTTAAAACTTTCAATGGGCGATATCGTTTTTTATATTAGTAATTAGTATCACAAAATGGCCAAAACCGTTTCGGTAGAATCGAGGGGGAAGCAAAATGGTCGTATAAAGAAGGAACCAACTTCAACCTCGTACCCCCCGCCACCCCATGCCTAAATTTTGAATTGTGACGTATCACTTGTGATACATCATTGGAAAGCTCTTAAAAAATGCTTTTCAGAAATACCATACACTGGTGCATTTAAACTGCCCATTCACAATTTATGTAATAAAAATGAGTAATTTGAGTATTAGATGAATTTGTCAGTGTTTGAAATAAAAAAAAATTTATTAGATCTAGTGATGCTTTGGAAAAACAATGACAGCAATTTTTAGTAAATAATAATTTTCTATTGCTTTATTTGTTGATCGGTTATTATTATTTTAGTCTCGTTTTTAGTATTTCTTGGCAAGAAAATTACAAATTTTGAATTTAACTAAAGATTTCATAATGGTGTACACGTTAGCCGAAAGAGTTGAAATTATTTTCATCTATGGTTCTGAAGCGCGATCTGCATTTAGAACAGCAGCTGTTTTTAATGCCCGACACCCAGAACGACGTGTCAGTCACACTTATGTTGCAATGTTAGTGACTAAATTTGAAGAAACTGGGTCAGTGGAAAATAAGAAAAGAGACGGACCAAGAATAATGGATGATGAAGCTACTCAGATTGAAGTTTTAGGTCATTTTGGTGCAAACCCAACATCATCTATTCGAAAAGCAGCGACTATGACCGGACTTTCGCGAGAAACTGTACGACGAACTCTTAAGGTGCACAAATTCTACCCTTATAAGATGCAGATTGTACAGGAACTAACCGAAGACGACTCCGATCGAAGAATCCAATTTTGTGAAATAATGACCGAGAATATTCAAAATAATCCGGAACTGGTGAAAAACATTTGTTTTAGTGATGAATGTACATTCTTTTTAAATGGAAATGTGAACGAACATAACTGCCGGTATTGGGACGATAAAAATCCTCATCTTTTTCGCGAGGGGCATACTCAACGGCCCCAAAAAATTAACGTCTGGGCAGGTATCTTAGGTGATAGCATTATTGGTCCTCTGTTTATCGAAGGAAATTTAACTGGAGATACTTACCTAAACATGCTACAAAATACCGTCGAGCCTCTCATCACTCATGAAATAGAGAATCAAATAAATCCAATTGACGGAAACATGAATTTGATTGAAGATTTCATACATTTTCAACAAGATGGGGCTCCTCCTCATTACTCTATGGCTGTTCGTGAATTTTTAGATGAGAAATTTCCAGGACAGTGGATAGGACGAAGAGGTCCTATAGAATGGCCAGCACGATCTCCAGATCTGACACCATTGGATTTCTTTCTTTGGGGTCATTTAAAATCGGTTGTGTACAAAACTGAACCAGCTTCCATAAATGATCTTCGCTACCGGATAGTCAGGGAGTGCCGTTCACTTTCCAGGGAAGTGTTTAAAAATGTTAGAAATGAATTTGAAAACCGTTTGTGGTATTGTTTAGAACAAAACGGTGAACATTTTATTAAATAAAAGTTGTTTATTTGCGAAGTTCAAATTTTAGTGTAATAAATTGTGAATGGGCAGTTTAAATGTACCAGTGTATGGTATTTCTGAAAAGCATTTTTTAAGAGCTTTCCAATGATGTATCACAAGTGATACGTCACAATTCAAAATTTAGAAATTTAGGCATGGGGGTGGCGGGGGGTACGAGGTTGAAGTTGGTTCCTTCTTTATACGACCATTTTGCTTCCCCCTCGATTCTACCGAAACGGTTTTGGCCATTTTGTGATACCTCTAATATAAAAAGCGATATCGCCCATTGAAAGTTTTAAAAGTGTCACCCTGTATTAGTATCTATAGAGTAAGTAAAATGGGCAAAATTGCCCACTTGATTTCTGCATCCATTAAAAAACCATTTTGTAGGTTTTTACAAGAGCTACAAAGCTATTTACAGGAAATGCCTTTCAGTGGGGTGAGCTTAAAGGGCTAAAACAAGGTAGTGCTCGCATATAAATACACGTTTTAAACGTCTATATCTCACCGTATAGAAAATTCCCGGGGAGGAAAATGTTTGGAATTAAAAAACTACAATTGGATGCTGTAGCATTTTTTACGGATCTCCAGTTGTTTTGTAGTTATTTTGAAGCGAAGGGCGTTTTTCAAAAAATTGCAGAAATTCGTTATTCACTTTTAGCTTCAATTATTATAAAATTAAGTCTTCTAAATTGGTCACACTTCTAGAATAATACTTTATTAAAGAAAACTAGAAAAGGGTGAGGACTAATTTTAATTAGGGTGGAAATTAGGGGGTTGCTTGCGGTGATTTATTCGCTGAAAAAAGTACGGATCTACCTTATTTTCATTGTAGCTCACTTAATTTATATGGTGAGAGCACATAGTTTTTATTTTGCTTGTGTGATTGAGGATCTATTCACGGCTCCTTCTTCCTATTAAGTTTTTATGTGTTGGAACAGATGCTAGAACAGTTTGATGTTATCACCATAAGTGAACTTGCTCCTATTGACATTTTAATTTCTGCGCTACAGTATTTAAAAGATCATAGCGTATTTGTGCTTATGAGGTCAATTAACGTTATTATTAAAGTTTGTTTTTTTAAAAAAAGAAGAAAGGTTTCTTTAAATATTTTAAAAAATGTTCTACACATTTTTCTTTAAAAATGAATAGTTTACCTTTATTTGACTGTAAAACTCTCTAATTTAACGTTTGGCCAAGTCACAACTCGGCTCGTATTAGTTATGCAGCAGTCGTTAAAAATCCACTTTATTTGTTTTTTTAAAAGTTACGATTTGGTTCTCCACAGATTTTTTATAAAATGCATACTTTTCCGAGTTTTTCGCGAATAACCAATTAAAAACATTGGCCTTTTCCGAGGTCTTTTCTATGAAAAATTCATACTTTCGGTCGCGAATAACTGGAGTAAGATTAACTTTCCAAAAAAATGGATAGAACACTATTTGCTTAGAATTAATTAATTCTATTCCTGTGTTAAAATTACAATAAACATTGCCACCCCCGCGATGGGGTGTCAAAACTGTCCAAATTTCAAGATAATAGATTCATTTTGAAAAAAATGCCAGGGCAAAAGCTTCATTTCCTGGACTATAAAAGAAGGGGAAGGAGTGGAAATATAACATTCAATCTTACTTGACTTCCGGGCCAAACGTGTTAATTCGACGGATCTCAATCAAGCCCATTGGAAACTCCTTGCGAGGCTTTCTTTCGGCTAGCCAATATTTATGAACAGAGGGGGCAGGTCCGGGGAACACCATTCAAGAAAAATTGCCAGCTCGAGGGGAACGATTCTCATTCCAGACCCCGTCCATCCTTTAAATCGCATCAGCCGCAGGTACACCAAGGAGGGGCAAAAGCTTTTATTTTGACTCAAAAACCAATCATGCTATTTTAAATAAAAATTATCGTCACTAGTTAATAGAACAAATTCAATAAATATTTTACGCCCCCACATACAACAAACCGAAATCTCCGATCCGTTACACAAACTAAAAACCGAATCGTAATTGAATTCAAAATTGCAGTTTGGCAAGTTAAATGTAAAATATTACCTAGTAGAAAAGTTCCACTCGACATCTACAAGATACTCCAAAATATATCAACACCCTGTACATTAATCCTAAATAAAATGTGACCTATACTAGTTTGTATGAACATCCTGTATAATAGTAAATGAAATGTAACCTGCGTTTGTGGGAAAATTTCATCTTATCGAAATCTTTCTGTAAACTAAAATAAAACGTAGCTACATGAGAAAGCATTTATAAGGGCCATTTATAGCAATATCTGACCAAGGCCCTTATATTGTTATCCCACCCACAAATATTACCCATTGCTCAATGTTATACCAGGCCGTGGAAAATCAAATTTTCATATAAAGTATAATAGTAGGAGAGCTGGTGGAGATGTATTTGAGACACGCTGAAAACTTATCCAATACTGCTCCAATAATACCCAAACACAGAAATGCAGACCTGGCTGGGGAGAAGCGGGGCTAAATCAACCCTTTATATTTTTAAAGATACGAATTTTTTCTCAAAAAATGTTTTTGAGGCACTTTGAAATTTTTATTACTTATAAATGTTTGCAAATTTATTTGTAAAAAGGTAGCTTTTAATCCCATTTGGTGTACCTACCGGGACCGTGTACTCGTAATTAACAACTTTACGGACGGGGCTCCATGATATGGAGT